ATTGGTGTTCTTGGTGCAGAAAAGCTTTGGGTAATTAACTTACAAAAATCTGGTACTAAAAAGGGTGTATATTAGATAGAAGTTTAATAATGCTGCACAGAAAAATGAATCTTCCCTTAATGATATACTGAATTTGTCCAACAGTTTTAAAGCATTTCGAAACCTAATTTAATCTGATGAGGATGAATATGAGTAAACAAAACATGAAATCTAGCAAGCAGCTGCCAGTCATACGAACACCCTGTCCCAGTAGCTTCGTGTCCTTCTCATTTCACTGGTTTCAGCAGAGCTTTCTGATGGGTTGCACAGAGTCAGTGTCACACTTCCTGTGTGATGCTGGGGCAGGAGAAGGCAGGACCACTGAAGCACTCACCTTTTCTATCCTTTAATTTCCACCTTATTCTATGACACTATGATATCTGAAGTTATACATTTGAATGCTTGGTAGCTAATATACTGTGTTGTAAACTTTAATATCTCCTGAAGGCAGATATTACAGCCTGTGGCCTGTTCTGAGGCAATAAAGCAGAGCAGAAGAAATTCTCAAGCTCTGTTGTTTCCCTGTCTCCAGCCCACGTGGCCACGATGTTAAAACTGCTGTGATGCTGATCACAGCACAAAGGCTGTTTCAGTGCAGGGAAGCAATGGAGGAAGCAGGAGACTGAACTGCGAACAGGAGTCTGCAAAAGAGGAAAGAGTGGAAAGGCTGATGGGCCATGGCCATCCCATTAGCTCTGCTGCAAGCACCCTCTGAGCCTCCAAAACTGCTGGCTTCTTGCAAACAAGGACCATCTTCTGCAGTCACAGCATAACATGTACTTCCAGGCTACGGTCAATCTCCTTTTATGATAGGTAACTTAAATGTGTCCGATAACTCCTGCCTCAGCAATCTTGATTTGTCTCCTTACCTATGAAAGGCCATTAATAGAGATGGAGGTGTTGATAATAACATCTCCAATGTCATGAAAGATTTACTGCATCCCAAAAGCCACCACATTTCACTCGCTTCTGCATTGTGCTAAGACACTTCATCTGACAAGACATCTCTTCTAACCACAGAGCACATCCTATATTGCATCCATAGCTTGAAGTGCCTAGGGAGAAATATCAATGGAAAAAGCTTTGTCAAACTGCAAGATACGATCCATTTATGTTTGACTTTTCCAGAGAATCTTTACATTTCTGGATTCAACCATGCTGGCATTCATTTCCACAGGAAATCTCCAATAAACCAGAGTATCTGATATTAATGTGATTGACCTACTGGCCCTGCTGAAGCTGCAGGCAAGTAAGTGTACATTTAATCAATTTTGCTGTGTATGTAGAGGTCATCGGTGTGAGTGGGCTCCTAGAGATGCTGTTCAGTTAATTCTTCTCTGTAGATTTTAGATCCCGATATCCTGAGAATGCAAAATGTCCAACAGATGTCTTGCTACAAGAGGCTGTTTCAAAGGACCTTGATGCTGCAGATGCACACAGTGCCATGTGTTTTGGAAATGTGGCTTTTTCCCTGCCCCTGGATACTGTGAGCATCCCTTCACCTGCCAGTCGGTCAGTGCAGAGAGCACACTCAACACTGCTGGCTGCAGAGTGAGATATGGTTGACCACATGAGAGGTTTTGGCGTAAAGAGAGAAGAGCAACATTGTGGAGAAGCTCAATGGTTGGGAAATTCATGGGCTGGCATACAAGATGAGGAAGATGCTTGTGAGGCCTTGTTTTAGTAGAATGCTTTTTTGTATTTAACACTTAAGGAAACTTAGCACAGACTCTGGTTGTGGTTTTTGCTTAATATGATAATTTCAATGTGAGAAATCAGAGTTGATGCTTGTGGAGTGACTGTACTTTACCTAATACCAGCCTGATCTGATGACCAACTATGGATAGAAAAGGCCCAGCATGATCCTCCATTTGTTAATATGGCACCACTTTCTATGTCATTCAAACTGCAAGTTCCTAGGGACTGTTTTTATGTTTTGCATTTATACAGAGCATCACACAAAGCTATTACTAGAAAGTAATTACAACCTAGTGACATAAATTAGAGGAAAACTACTTACTTGGCTCCTGTGTGGAACAAGTAGTTATCAAAGTGGGTAGCAATGTCGTGGAAGACTAAAATTTCTCAGGGATATAATATGTTATATTATTATAATATTTCTCCATTTATTCATAACCTAATGTGGTTTTTTTTCTGGCAAAAAAATCAGACTGTGAAGCGTGAAAGAAATTAATGCAATTTGTTTTAAACGACCTGAGCAAACAGCAAAGAAAAGCATCTCCATCAGAGAGGAGGGTGCTGCCTGCATGGTTTGCTGGCCTTCATCTTCTGCTGAAGTCACCAGCAGGGAGTGTGACCAATACACAGCTATCCAGATGAGCAGAGGTTTTCACTGGGAGCTCATTGTTAGAGCAGTGCACAGAAAACCTGCAGTGCCTGTACGTGGGGAGGTGATTAAAAGGGGAGTTCCCTCAAGGCTGGCACAAGTGTTGGGTACAAGCCCCTAGAGTCTGGCTGAGACTCAAGAGGAGATGCAGCATCACGGAGAAGAGATACTCAGGACAACAGACGCCAGCCCTTGCAAACCCAGCCCCAGGTCTAGGTGGTCCAGGGAAGGCAGCAGCCCCAGGGCAGCCATCTGAATGCTGGCTGGGCTGCCAGGTTTCCTTGCTCATCTCACAAAGTTTTTAGTAGAGCCACCAGAGAGGTGAACACTCTTCCTGAGGGTAGACAACACGCCTCCAAATTGTCACCTAAATTAAGAGCTTCCTGTCAACCTTCCTTCCTCTTTCAAAATCCTACCACTAAGAGCATTGCATGGCTCTGACAGCAGCAGCTGGGCCAGACACGTCCTTAAAATTGGCCATAGGATGACCTCTAGTAATCTAGGTCTGTTACCTGAAGGCAGAAGCACAAACAACTGAGAATACATGCTGCCTGACCAGCAGAAAACGCTCATCAATTGAGAAGTTAGCCCCATGCAGAAAAGCCAAGGTGAGAAAGCCCTAGCCCAACGATCCCAGCAATGAGGAACTGCATTTTTGGAGCACCACCTTTAGAGCAATAGCTGCTTCTCCTGCGAGTGTACTTATTCTCCCAGCCCATCAAATGTATTCCTTTGACAGAGGAGTAGAAACTTGAGATGAAAGCATGAGAAAGTGTTTGGAGAGGGCTGTCAGAAAACAGGCATCTCTGTGTACCTGTCAGCACCCACTGGAGCTCTAGAGTTTATTTCAGCTAATGCAAAGACAAGTGGCATCCAACAGAGCAGTATTTGCTCTCAGGCAGAGAGGAATTAACTCCAGGACAGAGCTATAGCCATGCCTCCAGGAGGAAAAGCTCGAGTGTTCGTCATAACTCATGGAAAGCTGGAAAGAAACCTCAGCTGGTCACACATCCATTTGGGACATTGGAAAAGCCAGTTTTATAATGCAGAACACTTCTCTACCAGGGCAAACTGTGAAACAGAACCCAGAAATACCTCTGTAGGCTCCTGCAACCAAAGCCTCTGAAAGCCCCAGTCCCACTTCTGGCAAAGGATCCCCGAGTTGGTTACAGAAATCAAACATGTCACAGAGAAACAATGAAAGGAGCAATGTTTGCATCCACATAGAAAACCAACAGAAAAGGGTAAAGTTGCAATTAGTGTAATTTGGAAATTAGAAACTGGATAAATTAGATAAGGGGAAGAAAATAATACAAGAGACAGGCTGCAGCTCCAGAGAAAAGAGCAGTACGAAAAAGTCTTTAAAATATATTAGGGATGAAGCGAAGCCAAACAATGTCTTTGGACTGTGACCAAATTGAAATTATAGAAATGGCAATAATTATGCAGAAAGGCAAATGTTTTCAATGAACAAGTATTCCTGTTCTGAATGTGGGGAGAAAAACAGCCACAAATGATGCATTCCCATCAGATGATGATGATACAACAATTTGCATAACAGAAGTTCAGGGGGTAGCATGCAATTGTTACAAGAGCTAAGCATCTTCAAATCAGCAGTTGAAATGATTTGCATAGAAGTGCTTTGAAGAGAACTTACTGGGTTTTCTGGGTCTCTAATGCTGGTTTTGCAGAGCTCATAGAGTACAGGCAAAATTACAGCAGAAGGAAAGCTGCTATTTCAGGGGAAGTGGAATGACTGGGATATAGACAGGCCTGCTGAGCTTTGATCATGGGGAGATAATGCATCCCAGACAATGAGAAACAACTTCAGAGATTGAAAAAATAGGAAAGGATAATATCATTAATGCCCATCAATGGGGGCTGATAAGGAATAGATCTTCTAAAACTAGCTGGGGTTTTTTAAATGAGATTACAATTATGCTTAATAAAGGAAATAGTGTTGATTTAAGCTTGTGTAAAATATTTGACTTAGTATTCCACAAGAAGCCGGTTCAGTACAAAATCAACACGGCACACAAAGTGAATTAAATACAAGCTAAAAGAATTACCTGTCAAAGATAAGTGGATGGGTGTATGCTTCAACAGAAATCACTGCTTGGCCTCAAGGCAGGCAATATTTTACTGGATACCTGGGAAAAAACAGAAACACATGAAGCCCCATTGGATCTGGCTGGACGCTGCCCCATGCTGGGATGAGTGGTGAGCAATGGAGAAGTCCCTGATGCTTAGCTGAACTTGTTGAAACACCCGTGTTTTCTTTAAGTTATAGGCAAAGTATGAGCTGGAAGAGACTGTGGCACTTGTGCTTAGCAAGAATGGGTGAGATCAGATCAGCTTCTCAGAGAGAGATTGGGGCCAAAGATAGGTTATTAGGTATAAAATGGCTAAAGGACTAATAAAGGGGTGCTGAAACGCGGTGCAGTGGGAGGACTGCTGGCTGCAGCACCATGCTCCTGAGTGGATCTGCCCTCAGTGCAAACGTTTTCACCAGGTTTCTCAGTGAAAAGCAGAATCTTTCATTAGAGCAATGACACAGCTGGAGACCACAGCCACTACTACTGGGACCCCACCTATTGAACCAAGATATTTCTTTTTCCATCACCAAGTTCAATGGTTCTCTTTTTTAGCGGTTACTTCAGCGCAACAAAACCTGTGTCTCATCTCTTGGAGAAGGTTCAGTTTGGTGTAGGCAGATTCTTCTGTCTTTCCCCCTCCCTCTCTTTCATAAAGCAGTTTCTTCTCTCCCATGATCAACTGCTGAGCACCTCATCACACATCACTTACGAGCTGGCACATGTAATGATTTTTCAGTCATTTGGCTTCCACACAGGAATGATGGATTTCAGGTTAGTTCTCCTTCTAGTAGCTGATGATGGCTGAAGTGCTTTAGGATGTATTTGCATCCCTGCAGCTCATTTTGCACAGGCTTTGGATCACTAGCTTCAGATCCTCCCTGGGGTGGGTCCAGGCACCCTGGCACCAAAGGCTTGGATGCACTTCACCTGGGTGATGTGCAGCCAAGCAGGTGCAGACAAGGTGAAGAGCCTGCTCTCCATACCACCACAGCACATCCATCCCTTGGGAACACAAGGTTTACAAAGTACCCTCTGGAGCCATGTCTTCATATACATCTTCAAGTCTTCTCTTAAGCTATTGAGAGCTGCAAAGAGCTGGTAAAGAGCTGGTAAGAAAAGCAGCAGCTCTGGTCCTTCCTGTTGCAGAGAGAGGGCTGGAGCTACTGCATCTCAATCCCTGCCCAAGCTGGAGGGAGGCCATCTCACTGCAGTGGCTGTGGTCTCATATCACAGCTGCATTGCTTATGCTTTCTGACCTCTCATACTGCTGAGCGCTGTACAGGGAACCAGCCTTTCACTTCATTGCTACTGTGGGGACCAAAACCACTGAAGTGCAGCTGTTCATTGCATTTCTAGTGCATTCACACAACCTTCATACCAGCAAATACCTTTTTGGGGTGAGTGCCCGTTAATTAAAAATGAAATTAAGAATAAACCAGTGGGTACAGTCACTGAAAATAAACCGAATCAGCCCCTGGCACCAACATAGAGGTCTGACAGCTAATGGGGTGCTCACTTCACCCCCTGACTGCATGTTGGGTGCCAGTGCAAAGCTGGGCCGTGATGGGACCAGACCTGTGCAGAGGTGACACACACACTGTCTTGGAGCACACAAGTGGATTTCAGCAAAGGCAGGCCTGTGCAGATGCCTCTGCCAGTGGGAAGGCAGAGAAGAAAGGCAATTAGAGCCATTATTAATCACTTGTGGACTGACTGATTACATGGCATTAATAAGGAGGGAGTAGTGATGAAAAAAACCTTACACCAACCCAGCTGCCTTTGCCTTTACCTCACTGGGGACTTGCTGTGCTCCCTGTGCAGTGGTGAGCAGGTGGGATGGGGAGCTCCGTGAGGAGCTCAAACAAAGCCATGGGACCGCGGGAGCACCCCAGAGCCAGTTGGGACTGCTCTAGTCCTTCCAAAAAAAAAAACCAACCCACTGCCATGAGGCACCTCAGAAGGTACTGGCCATCCCGTGCAGGGTGCCCTGGAATCAAGTGCTCTCACAGCACATCCTTCCCTCTGTGCAGTTATAGGGGTGCTTCAAGATGCATGGGCTCAACGTCAGTCCTTGATGTGTTCATGGAATTAGGGCTGTGCCAGAGGCAACTGACAATGCCGAGCTCCCAAAGTAAAAATCTCCCCAGAGTGATGAGAAATTACTTTTCCAATTCTTTTCCCCTAGCTGAACATGGTACAGAGATCAGAGCCTAAAAGCAGAGATAGCTCTGAAACAGATTTCCCAAATGCAAAAGTATCTGGTGGTTGTTTTGACTGAATGAAAGGTTTGCATTGCTCAGCCACACAGGAGGCCACAGTGCTTTGACAGAAACAGTTACTTTAAGAAAGGAGGAAAATCTAAATATTTGATACTGTTTCTTGGAAGCAATGATCAGAGATTTTATTTATATTTTTAAGCGATGCTGAATTATGTACTCTGCGATAAATACTACTTTGAAAGTGATCTGGGAAAACAAACGCAGAACAAATGACTTAATGGAGAGCCCCAAAAGCTTTCCTGCAGAGCTGTTACTTCTCATCCTTTGCACAAGAAAAGGTCTATTTAAAGTTTCTATTTATGATGGCACCCAGACGGCTTTATCTGAGCATATGAAGCACTTCTTGGTTTCATCTGTCAATGGCTGCCGCTGAAATCAAAGGCTTTACCAGGGGGCAAACCTGTTGTGCTGCTTTATTACATATTAGTCATCTCTCACTCTCCTCCAGCAGCTGAAGATGAGTGTGACTTGTCCCCAGCGCTGTGCTGCTCCCACGCCTTGCCAAAAGGGTATTTCCTTTTGATTAGATATTAGCTGGAAGCAGCTCGTCTGCAGGATCTTCTTAAACATCACTAACAAAGCAGGAGTTTGCACAGATCCCTTGGGATAGGGTGAAGCGCCCAGCTCTGCTCCACTGGAGCAGCCCGGGGCCTGATGCACACAGCAGAGAGTCTCAAATAGAGTCCCAGCTCTTCAGGGGGTTGCTCTGATACATAAGTAATAAGAAACACGTACAGTGCCCAGCCAGCCCCATGCACTGACCAGTCTCTTGAGGTTCTCATGTCAGAACTAACTTCTGGCTTTGATGCTGTTCCTGTGGGAAGCTTTCTGCAGCAGAGCATCTCTACATGAACAAGAGCCACTTCACCTTGCACAATCTGGAAGCCAAGGGAGACAAGGAGTCTTACTAAAGGGATGAGAGGACAGCAGGACACGGCATGCCCCACAACACCATGTCCACTGGGAACAGCGGTGCCACCACCTCCTGCTGCTGGGCAGGTGAGCAGGGACACTGAGCTGGAAACACAGGATTCCAAGGTGTTGTATTAACCTCTGAGCTCAATTTCACCATTACCCCATGCAACAAGCGTCACAGGAGACCACCTCTATTCCTTCTCCTTCCCCAAAGAAGTAAGCCAAAGCAACTATGCCCCCGAGTTGGTCTAGAGATGCCTCTGCTCTTCTCTACCTTATACTCAAGTGTCCTGGATGCTGTGAAGGTGGGGAATATGCTTTGCAAGAGAAAGCTAAATATCTGGTATGCGGGTGGGCCAGAGGTGGCACTGGGGTGTTTGAGCCTGATTTGGTGTTCTGGGATAAGGGTTCCTTTGTGCTTGATGGCTTCAGATCTGCATCTAAAAAGCAAGTCCCCTTCTTCTGTTTTTATGCAGTTCAGAGATGGGCATGAAGCCAGACAAGATGGAGCTGCAGCATCTTATCTTCTCACTGAGCTGCTAGAGCTGCCTCTTTTCTCATGTTCTTTCACTTGCAGAGAAAGGCTCCTAGCACATGCCAGGAACCTGTCACAGATGTTCTTTGGAGCTCATTTACACTTACGTGTCTTGTCCATAAGCAACCTTGCAATTAAATGGAGTGATATTTTCCTCGCTGAATATGAAACCTGTCTGTCAATGTCTGGTGGCCGACACTCAGAGACTGCCAGTCCCACGCACTGTGTCCTTTGTCCCCAGCAGAAGATGCTGAGAAAGTGAAGTCAGGCAGCATCCAGTGAACCGTAGCTTTGTTCCCACTTTGAGAGCAGAGCAGGAAATGTGTAAGGATGTACAAAGAGACAGCATTTTACAAGTTTACAGGCACACGGCATGGGCAACTAACAGCAAGAGCTGGATGGAAGTCATTGTGCAGAAAGAAAACTATGACATAGCTGCCATCCCAGGAACAAGCTGGACCTGTTGTGAACAGAGAAGGGCTTACAGGTGATGTGACAGTTGGAGGCTGCCTTGGGCACAGCAATCATGAAGTGATAGAGCTTTTGACTCTGAAAAGGAGGGGGCTCAGCAGAACTGCTGCCTTTTTCTTCTCAGACACAGCCTGAGCACCAGGACTTGATGGGAACTACAGCAACCCTGAGCAGCTCAGTAGGAGGGGTGCAGCTGGAAGTAGAACCTGTATGTAATAGCATTAGGTCACTAAAACTACAAGGCAGACACTTGTGCATAGGAATAGCACCGCTGAAGTCAATGAGGCAATGTAAGTATTTACACGGCAGTAGCTTTAGGTGCAGACAGTATCAGCTTCTACATTACAGTCCTATAAGCCCCATTTTGGCATCAGAAAGAATTCAGGAACTGGGCAAACTTTGCACAGTTATTGCAAGGTATTTCCCCTACCTTTATAAAAGTACCATAACTGTAAGGAATTTTGAAATTTTTTCTTCTCCATAACAAAATACCCCCAGAGTGCAAGTCAGATGTATTTTGGGGGTTACCATTGTGCCGGGAAATGACATGCAGGAGAGACAATGCAGTGACATAATAGTGTGAAAATCTATCAGCCTAAAGGTGCTGAGCATCCATACCACATATGCACACCAGAGGGACAGGCAGCTGGTCCAGGGGGCTTGGGCTGACTGGGCATTTCCATCAGAGATGCGATGGAAATGGACATAAAGTACCTCAGCCTCAGCAGGAGGCTGTGCCAGTGGTGTATTAAGAGCGTGCAACAGCCAAGGGTGGGGAACATTAGTTTCACTGCCCCCTATTCACATTCTGCAGATATATCCTGCCAATAACCTCAGACCCTTATCAACCTGTCTCTCTTTTCATATAGGATTTATTAAAATACCAGAATCTCAGAGCTGTTCTTCAGAGATGAAGCTTATCATCAATCCGGGCGGAAATCAGACAGGTTTCTGTGCTCACAGGCAGCAGCCATGCCCAGCAGCCCCCATGAAGTTTTCCTATCACAATGCACTGCTGGAGGGGGCCAGGGTGCTGCTGGTGAGCATGAAAAAGCAGAACCAGCCTCTTCAAGACTTTAATAAAGTCATCACTAACAGGGAAACAACATAGCAGATGTCTACCTGAAACTAAGATTCGGGGTAGATAGATGCGTGCAAAGGCATACGCATTTTCTGGCAATCATTGCATATTACTGAATGTTCTCAAAGATGCTCCTTTTTTATTTTAACAATTTGGGTGAAGGCTTGTCCTTAGGATGGTGGCTTTTTCCCAGTGGGCTGAAGATGTTACTGCTCTATTTGTTGCACTGAGAAAAAAATTAACTCATAAAATGGGGTTTGAACCAACATTTTCTGAGTGATTCAAAGTAATCGCAGTGCTTTGGATCTTCAGGAGTGCTTTGGGTTTCTGGGCTCCTACAGTTTAGAGCGATTTAAAATTAATGGAGTACTTAAAGTTTTTAAGAGCACTTCAATTTGCAAGTGATCAGGGTTCAGGGATTCGGAGAACAAAGTCATTTAAAATAACTGGAAGGGCTTTTCAGAGTGTTTATCGTAACTGTGGCATAAACAGCACCATGTTCCTGGGCTGCCAGCACTTCCATTGGATCCCGTGTGCCATGGGGTTTGCTCTCTCCAACAATAAACTCCTCAATAAAATCACCTGGCTGATCAGGGCCTCTTAAAAGCCAATCTGTGTTTCAAACAGCCAAAAAGCTGTGTATGCTGCAGAAATACAACAGGAACAGGGGCACAGGGGCATTTATAGTCATATCTAAAGGTGTGTAGATACACAGCCTAAAAAAACTGTTCCTAAACACAGCAGTTTAAGTTAAAAAGCAAAACTAACAGATCTTACAAAAACCCAAATAAAACAACTCTTTGAGATTTCCTGGAACAATACACTTGTGAGGTGTTTTCTCATGCCAGGAGGAAGCTAGAAACACTGATAAGGGGTCATTTGCAGAAATTACATCTAATACAGCTCCTCAATTGACTATTAGAGCATATCCTTGCATGTCTATTGAAACTTGTGACTAAGAAATTACTTCTCAGTTGTTCCATTCATCTGCAATGAATCTCATGACCGTAGAAGGAAAGATGGCACCCTGAAATTACAGCTTTCTTGTCAATGTGCTTGAACAGGTCATTTTTCAGCTGAAAGCAGACATCAAAGTTCCTTTTCCAAAGTGTTATTCAAAGGAGTAAATGATGTGGAGAAAAGATCCGACAGCAGAAAGGAAAATAACATATGCAAGCTTTGCACAGCAGTTTGAGACAAAGCAGGTGCCAAAGGAAGAGCTTGGCTTGACCCCCCATTTGACATCTCTAAAGGTTCAAATTTTGGATGTTTGTTAAGCAGGCACTTAACAAACCTTGTCAAGAAGGACTCATAAGCGAATTAGTCTCAGAAATAACTCAGACCACAGAAAGTGCCCACGAACCTCAGCACAGTGAGTCCTTCAGCCCACGAGTGTGGTTCCTGAACATGGCAAGAGAAGAGGAGGAGGATGAGAGAAGGAGGATTTTCCTGCTAAGAGAGCACTGGAGAGGCAGAAGGGATCAGCTGGAAGAAGCAAACTGTTCAGCAGACCTCCCCAGTCTTAGAAACATGGAGAGAAAAAGGTGAAATAAATAGAATTTCAATGAGATTTTCTAAAGTTTCTCATCACCAAACCACATATTCTTAAGATAGAAAATAAGAGGATAAAAGCACAGCAGAGAAAACTATAGCTCCCCCCCCCCAGGTCAATGCTATGGAGCTACCACCATGTCCTGCTTTTGAGATGGAGCCTAATTTATGGGAAAGCAATCACCTAAGTTTGCCTGCACTACCTGATTCAGCAAAGCAAGCATAGGTGAGTTTCTTTTCCCAAAAGGCAGTCAAAGACCCACCAAATACATCCAAACAGATGGATTAAAGCCAACAGATTCTCTATTGAGCACTGTGTACAAACCAGCTATATGTGAATTCTCATGAGGAAAAAAACACTGAACTGGAGCACAGCCTCCAATCCAGCAGCACCAGGAACCCTGCCATCAGGCCTTGCATGGTCCCAGACCCCGGTGGAGCACATACCTGGTAGCTGCTGGCCTTCAGGAGCAAAACAAATCCACCTCACAAGAGTCAAGATGATGATTCTCTTTGGCAGCTTGGCAAAGGAGGCACCTCTTTATGTGAGCCATGGTAGACATGCAGCTTCTGCAGCCCAGCACAGGGAGATGGAGAGCACCAAGTGGGGAGTCATAATGGACATCTCTCCTACACCTACATCAGTGCTGTCTCTTTGCCCTGCTCTTTCACCATGAGCATAGCATGGTCAGGCACATCACTGAGGCACCTATCTCTAGAGAAAGGGATGAAAATGGAGGTTGCCTGATCTTTAAATAGTTCCAACATCCCGGTCCCACCCCTTCCTAATTTGCACCTGATTATCAAGCTACCTGAAGTAAATCACTCACTATTAAACGCTACAGTATCAAATAGCAGCAATATGTGCCTTGTTAATTAATAAATGGATGATGTGTGTGTGCTCACAGGGAATATTGCTGCCCTCTGGAAGACTATGATTAGGCCTGTTTATTTCCCATGGTCTTGGGAAATAGCTTAAAATTCAGCAGTGCTGCTTTTAAAGTGCTACAGGTAGCTGTAATAAAGCTTATCTATCCTATGTCATGAATGATGAGAATAGTGGGGCCTAGATTCTGCACCTGAAAATGTGAGATACAAATATGATATATATAAATGTGAGATAAAAATGTGAGATACATTAGTTATGGCATATGATACATAAGTCTACATGATGTAGAGGAAAAAACCTATGTCTGAGACGCAAATGGGCAGTTTGTGGGATATTGTAAACTGCCAGCATATGGAAGTTGGGAGCAAGGAAGGACAGTGTAAATGACTGCCTTGTGCATGGGCTGTTATTACAATTAACAAGTACCTTCAGCTTTAGGGAACTTGATGGAAAGCCTCTATAGGATAAAGAATGCAATTATGTCTGGAAAAGGCAATCGCATATCCTGCAGAACAATTTACAAAGATGTTAACTCAATAGGCAAATCATAATTAATTGAGAAGCTTTATGTGTTGACTTTTTAATGTCTAATTATACCTCTATTTCTATCAGTTACAGGTAAGAGTCATAGAAGTGGAGGCAAAATGCTTTTTAAAGAGATTTCTCTGGTTTTTAAAAGAGCATTTCAAAAAGGAATGTGAGATGAGAGCTTGAATTACCAAAGGGGTATAAGAAGTGATGAGAAGATGGAGCAAGAGCTTTATAAATCAAAATATAAGCATAGTATAACAGAATATTTTTGATATTGAGATACCTGACTGTAAACTTGGTTTCCCTGTTGAAATCAAGTACTTAGTGTTCTGCTTTTCCAAACACAAACAGCAAACAATTGGTTCTAAATTTGAAACAGTTCTTGTATGACAGACTTGGGCTTTCTGCTCTTCAGGAACATATGAGAAGGCCATGTTAATCAGCCAGAAACACTGCCACCCTTCTTTTCAGTCTCCATTGAATGGAGCCCTTTGGGGTTTTCCCAATCTTGCTAGGGTACAGGAGCTCCACTGGAGTGAGGATGGAGTGATGGACCCCAGCATTACCAGGAACAGTAACGCTGCAGATGAGTTCTTATCTCCCGCATGCTCCAACTGAAAGGGTGGCCAATGCCCAACACAGGACATCTGTCCTTACAGTGTCTGTACATGCTCTGCATCTTGCAATGACCTCAATCTGCTCCTGAAGACTATCCTGGAGGTACACACAGTGCTAGGACTGGGGAAAGCAGTCTGCCTTCCCTCCAGCTCCTTGCAAAACCAAAGCATCTCTGTGCACAGCCAGATCTGAGCTAAGCTCTCGTTCCTCTATCCATATCATCACTGCTTTTACATGTGTGCTGGCACATCCCATGTGCATGGGGAACCTGGGAGCTAACCTGCTTTACAGAAACCCCACAAACTAGGGTGAGTTACTTACTTAGTGCCTGCTAAATAACAATCCTTTCAATGGGTGTGATTTCCTGATTGCAGTCTGGTTTTATTTCAGGCTTACTCTGTGGCCCACAGATTCATAAAGCCCGCTTGTCATTGTACAGCACTAGAAAGTACAGAAGATGAACTCCTCATCTCCAGGGTTGAAAAAATGTTGTAAATTGCATGAAGATGCATGAAGACCTTTATGAAGAGCAGGATTTATATTTATTTAATGAAGAAGAACATTTAAACAGGAAAAAGTAAGGAAAGGAGAGAGAAAAGAGGAAAAATGTCAAGAAAGAAGTCAAAAAACTTGTTAAAAAAGAAAAAGAAAGGTGATTTGTATGAGAAAATATTTGTGTCACTTCCTAGCCTGCTTCTTTTCTCCATCACAGGCTGATGTCACATCTGCAGTCCTAATTGCAGGCTAATCTGCCAGACTGCCCATGGCAAGGGAGAAGGATTGCAGACTCGGTTGCCACATCCCATCTGTTGGTATTCATAAACCCTACTAGATTTAGCTGTGGCTGCTAGCTGGAAGCTACCTGATCTGCTTTTTCCCTTCAGGTCTCCCCCTCTTTACTGCTGCAGGCAGAACAGGCAGGGCATCTTCAGACTATGCAGCCGTGTCTATTGATTTATATCACCGCTTGTTTAGATCTGCATAGTCTCTCTGATTATTAATTCTCCATTTTCCCAGGGGCAGAATTGCTCACTATAAATCAGAGCTCTTCTTCATAAATTCTTTTTGTCATCTGTGGGAAGCACAGATTGAAGTTCACTTTTGCAGACTTGATATGTTGCCTGTTGTCGCTCGAGTTCTCCGTGTACTCAGCATTGGTACAAATGTCAGCAATACAAATACTTTGCAGAGAACCATAAAGCACAAAGAACCTTCTACAGATTCAGCTAAAGCCTTTGCCTGCAGGAGTCTTACTGGCTTTCCCCTGTCCCCCGTTTGGCAGCGAAGGTGATTCATAGCTACACAGATAATGCTAAGTACAAAATGGGAGAATGGGAATAGTTTTGTCATAACTCCCACCAAGATATTTTTCAGAGAATGAGCAAGTCTTCATCTATTAAACTATGTGTGTTTTATTAGTTCTAGTAAGAATGTGTTAGACTGACAAGGACCTCAGAGGTATTTGTCTTTTTTTAATACCCAGCCTGCTATTGTAATGGGAGCTCCAGAGCCAGATGGGCCAGAAACCATTGTGCTTCATCTAGTTAGGAAATTAAGTGATGGACGCAGGGTGAATTCAAATGGGGAATGCTGCAGTAAGTCTGAAGACCTCAGGGGAAGATTAGCTATAGCTCATAGTCATCTTAAAGCTCTTTCCAGCCAGCAAAATGTGGAAAAGAGTTACATTAAAGAAGTATCCCCATAAAATTGCTGTTGGACTCTGATAGCAGTAGCAGAGCAGCAGGCAAGAGTTAACAGTAATGTCCTTTTAGATACCTGGGTTTGTTTATTGTGAGCAGTGTGTTGTGAAGATTTCATATTCAGAAGAAGCCTCAGGAAAGCAGGTAGGCTGTCACCTCTGAGCTCTGGGAGGGGAGAGCAGCTCCCCAGACAGAGGCTGAGCATATTTTGGAGAAGAAAAGGCCAAGCAGAGTACTGGAGGGATGAGAAAATTCCAGATGTTCTGGGAACAGCGGGTTTTGTCTCTGATGAAAGTGAAGGTACAATAATAGTAATGTCAGTCACTGCTAGTAAAGTCACCCAACCAGATTATTTGAGTTAGTCAAAAAGAAAGTTTGGGAAGAATATTGTTCACTGTTTTAACAGTTATTCCTTAGCTGATGCCTCCTGAATGGTACCTTCAAGACAGCCAAAACCTTTCACTGCTGGCACTGTAGCAAAAGAACTCAGTAGCTTCTTTCCCTCACTGCTGAATGGTATGTTTCACACATATGAATTCCCCGTGTTTGAAGAAAGCTGTTTAGAACAAATGGACTTAATTATCAAGCAGAATGAACTGGAACAAAAATGATTAATTGTGTGAACCCAGAAACCTTGAGGAAAGAAAAAAGCCTATAAAACATGGGAAGGTGGCCAAATTTGTCCTTAATGTTGCAAGGGTTTGGAAGTCTCTAAGCATAGTAACGGTACAAAGGGATGGGGAGAGCAGTATTTTTGCTCAGCCAAGCCTGCAAGCAACAGGAATCATTGAGCTAGAAAGACAACCTGTGCTGCTCCAGCAGAGCCATTTCAAAAGAAAACTTTCAGCACCTTCTGCCAATATTTTGCAATGAGCAGACAGCTGATGAAGATCTCCAGTTAAAGAAGGTACTAATATCAGATGAGAGCTGCCTCCCTGGGCATGTTACTCACCCTGCTGCTTGAAGCTAAATCCTGTAGTTGAAAGCACAGCCAGGCAACGGTCGCGTGATATCAGTGGTGATTAAAGCTCATCAATAGGATGCAACATAGGTAAATGTTAACTGTAATTTCAAAAAATGTTTGGAGTTGTTAAGCTCTGGCAGTCCGTAGAATTGACTGGTTAATCGCTCATGAGCTGCCAGCTGCTTCTTTCTAATCTATACGTTCACCTTTACGGTGTAATGACAGCTACTGTTTGCCACAGCATCCCCATCACTGCTGTGTACAAAACTGCAGTGCCCTGCTTACTCTGCTCAGTCACCCCCGATCATCTCCCTTGCTCTGTCTCAGTTGATCTGTCATAAGGAAGAGTTGATTTCTGACAAGCACCTTTCCAATCCTGCCATGCTGAGAAACATACAGTCTGGTGCTCCACCCTCCAGCCAGGAGCAGGTATATTGTTGTCCTGAGCAGTATTTTCCCTCATTGACTGAAGCTGCATCACGGAATTCAGCCTATTTTCCAAAAACAGTCCCAGTAATTATTCATGTAGAGTGAAAACTGGACGCCTCCTTCCCTGGCAAATTGGTTCCTGGTTCAGCTCCATTGAAATCAGCAGCCAAGGACAGCCAAATTACTTGTAGAGCACAAAAAAGCAGAAAACAAAAAGTCCCTGCTAATTTAATTGGGTCCTTTCAAGTGCTGCAGAGATTTTGTTAGCAGAGGTGCTAACATTATCATCTTGTGCTACTTAAAACCCAACACATTTCTCACTGTGTTTTCAAACATAACACTTGATTTTATTTTTAAATATTGATGTGGCCTGTGAAAATTTCTTAGAAATCTTTTATAGGAAGGCCAATTATGAGCAATTCTGGTTTTAACTTGAAGGGACCTTTCAAGTATCGTGCGTGTTTTTCTCCTCTGGGAGAATGATAGGCAAACGCTTCTCTTAATTAGCAAAAGCTTATATAAGTTGCCTAAATATAAAATTAGACTTTATTTTCAAGCTGCTGACCCACTACATTCCTTTGTGTCATGTGGAGTTCTGGCACAATAGTAACTGTGAAAATCCTGCTAAAATTGGAG